CTTTAAGATTTTCAAATTTATTTGAATATATGTTCTCAAAGTAGTCTCTGATGATTTCCTGGACTTCCATGGTGTTTGTTGTTATCTCCCCTTTTGCATTCCTGACTCTAGTAATTTGGGTTTTTTCTCTCCTCATTTTAGTCAGGTTTGCCAGGGTCTATCGATCTTGTTTATTTTTTCAAAGAACCAACTTTTTGTTTCATTAATTCTTTGTATGGTTTTTTTGGTTTCTATTTCATTGATTTCAGCTCTTATTTTTATTATTTCTCTCCTTCTATTTGTTTTGGGATTTGCTTGTTCTTGTTTTTCTAGGAGTTTGACATGTATCATTAGGTCATTGATTTGGGATCTTTCAGTCTTTTTAATATATGCACTCATGGCTATAAACTTTTGTCTCAGGACTGCCTTAGCTGTGTCCCATAGGTTCCGGTAAGTTATGTTTTCATTTTCATTGACTTCCAGGACCTTTTTAATTTCCTCTTTTATTTCATCGATGATCCATTCTTCATTAAGTAATGAGTTATTTAGTTTCCAGCTGTTTGCATATTTTTTGTCTTTACTTTTGTTGTTGAGTTCTACTTTTACTGCATTGTGATCAGATAGTATGCATGGTATAATTTCTATTTTCTTATATTTGCTGAGGCTTGCTTTGTGCCCTAGGATATGATCTATTTTGGAGAAGGTTCCATGGGCTGCTGAGAAGAATGTATATTGTGTAGAAGTTGGATGAAATGTTCTGTAGACATCTACTAGGTCCATTTGATCTATTGCATATTTTAGATCTTGGATTTCTTTATTGATTTTTTGTTTGGATGACCTATCTATTGATGATAATGGGGTGTTAAAGTCTCCCACAACCACTGTGTTGGCGTTTATATATGCTTTTAGGTCTTTCAGGGTATGTTTGATGAAATTGGGTGTGTTGACATTGGGTGCATACAGGTTGATAATTATTATTTCCTTTTGGTCTATTTTCCCTTTTATTAGTATGGAATGTCCTTCTTTATCTCATTTGATCAATGTAGGTTTGAAGTCTACTTTGTCAGAGATAAGTATTGCTACTTCTGCCTGTTTTCGGGGGCCATTGGCTTGGTAAATCTTTTCCAGCCTTTCATCCTAAGCCTATGCTTATTTCTGTTGGTGAGATGGGTCTCCTGTAAGCAACAAATTGTTGGATCTTCCTTTTTAATCCATTTCGTCAAGCGGTGCCTTTTGATGGGTGAATTAAGTCCATTAACATTAAGTGTTAGTACTGATAGGTATGTGGTGATTCCTGTCATTTAGTTGTCTTAGTTGTTTGAAGGTTTGATTGTGTGTACCTAAGTTGAGGTTACTCTCTACCTTCTTGCTTTTTCTTTTCCTGTGGTTTAGTGCTGCCTGTCTATTCATGGTTAAGTTGGGTTTCACTTTCTGTGTGCAGAATCCCTTGCAGAATCCTTTGTAGTGGTGGCTTTGTGGTCACATATTGTTTTAGTTTCTGCTTATCATGGAAGACTTTTATTGCTCCATCTATTTTGAATGATAGTTTTGCTGGGTAGAGTATCCTGGGGTTGAAGTTATTTTCATTCGGTGCCCGGAAGATCTCACCCCATGCTCTTCTTGCTTTTAATGTTTCTGTTGAGAAGTCTGCTGAGATTTTGATGGGTTTACCTTTGTATGTTACTTGTTTTTTCTCTCGTACAGCCTTCAATATTCTTTCCTTAGTTTCTGAACTTGTTGTTTTAATGATGATATGTCATGGGGTAGTTCTATTTTGATCTGGTCTGTTTGGTGTCCTGGAGGCCTCTTGCATCTGTATGGGTATATCCTTCTCTAGATTTGGGAAATTTTCTGTTATTATTTTGTTAAATATATTACGCATTCCCTTCACTTGTACCTGTTCTCCTTCTTCGATGCCCATGATTCTCAAGTTTGGTCTTTTGATGGAGTCAGTGAGTTCTTGCATTTTCTTTTCACAGGTCTTGAGTTGTTTAATTAATAGTTCTTCGGTTTTTCCTTTAATTACATTTCATCTTCAAGTTCTGAGATTCTGTCTTGTGTTTGTTCTATTCTGCTGGATTGGCCTTCCATTTTGTTTTGCAGTTCTGTTTCGTTCTTTTTTCTGAGGTTTTCCATATCCTGGCTGTTTTCCTCTTTATTGTTGTCTATTTTTGTCCTGAGCTCATTTATCTATTTATCGTGTTCTCTCTTTCTCTTTGGTGTTTATACAGTGCTTCTATGGTTTCCTTTATTTCTTCTTTTGTTTTGCAAATTCTCTATTTTTGTTGTCTTGGAATTTCTTGAGTGTCTCCTGTACATTTTGGTTGACCCTATCCAGTATCATCTCTATAAAATTCTCATTGAGTACCTGTAGTATGTCTTCTTTTAAATTATTCTTGTGGGCTTCATTGGGTCCTTTGGCATAGTTTATCTTCATTTTGTTGGAGTCTGGATCTGAGTACCTATTTTCTTCATTCCCCTCTGGTTCCTGTACTAATTTTTTGCTGTGGGAAAACTGGTTTCCCTGTTTTTTCTGTCTTCCTGTCATTGTCTTTGGTGTTGTTACTGTCCCTGTACTGTGTGCAATTAAGTATTTTCTAGCTTGTAATAATAACAATGGTAATATTTAGAATGGAAGGGTGAGCTGAGATGGAAGGCAAGAAGTTAGAGAAATGGGAAAAACAAATACACAGACTGGAGGGAGAATACAGAACAAGGTGTCAGACAAGAAGATTTCAAAGGTATAAACAGGGAGCTTTAGTGTACTAATCGACAGTAAGCTGAACAGACATTAGAGAGACGGAGGATTGAAAATCAAAATTAAAAAAAATAAAGGTAAGAATAAAAATAAAAAATAAGTAAATGAAAGAAAAATCTATTTATAAAAATGTATTAAAATGAAAAAATAGAAAATTTTAAAAAACCAAAAAACCTCCAAGTTCAAATGCAGTGAAGTCTCAGTCTCCAATCCTGGAGATGGTGCCTCAGATGTTGTTCTGTAGTTGTCTCATCAAAGGGGACGCATAAAGAAGAACAAAACTACATACACATGCACAAAAAAAACCCCACCAAGTGTCCCAAGTTCAAATGCAATACAGTTTCAGTAAGTTTTTCAGCTTGCAGGTGTATTTCGGTTCTTCTCTCATCAAAGGTAGGGAGACAAAGAAAAAAAAAAAAAGAGTCTGGAGACAGTTCTGAGAGTGGTATCTGCAACTGTGGCTTGCCTGCCCGCTGCTTCAGCCTGCTGTTGCTGGAGGCATTATTTATGCAGATCTCTGGGGTGAACTTAGCACTCACCTGGCCCCGCAGGCTTTGTTTGTTCAGAGTTCTCCTGTGCGGGAGCCTCTGCTACAGGCTTTCCCCTTTCTAAGCACTGGGAAAGGTGACACTGCACCCATGTTGTCAGGCATGCGTGTTTATTTATAGTTCATGTGGGAAGTGGGTCTTCCCCACTCTCCTGTGCAGTTCTCCTCCCACCTCCGCTTTCACAAGCTTTCCTGCTCCTGATTACTGGCGTGCTGCTGCTCCTGCCAGCTGCCATGTTTGTTTACAGCTCACGTGAGAAGTGGGTCTTCCCTCCTCTCCTGTGGAGTTTTCCTCCCTCCGCCACTCTCACAAGCTTTCCCGCTCCTGGTTGCTGGGTGCGCGCCCCGCCCCCGCTCCAGCCAGAGGCTCTCTGGCCTGCCTGGCTTGTTTATTTACAGTCCCAGGAAGGATTCCCTTCCCCCAATCTTTGATGCTCAGTGCCCCACCCTCTTTCCTGTGTGTCTTATTGTTCTTACTGCTTATTACTCAGTTTCTCTTTTTTTTCCCCGGGTGGAGGTCAGTCTGTCCAGGGGGCTATGCTGCTCTGGCCCAGGCTTGTCTGTGGGAGTACCGCAGTACCGAGAAGCTCACCTGGTCCGTGTCTTCCCAAGCCGTCTGGGTGCCAGCGACTGGTGGCCTGGGGCCCTCCTTGTTTCTCCGTTTAACATGAAGTGGAGACTCTCTGCGCCAGCTGGAGGTGTGGAAGGGTCAAAGTTATGCCTTTTCTCAGTGATTATGCCTGCAAAGTGTGGCTCTGGTGTCTCTCCAAGATTTCACTGTAGAGGCTCGCTTTCTGCTTCCTCCCTCTAGCCGCCATCTTGGAATACAGTATCTTTCTATTTAGCCAAACCATAGGCTCCTCTACGGAGAGACCATGTCTCTTTTCTCCACCTCTCTATCCTAAGCTTCCTGTGTCCAGACCCCAGCCCATAATAAGTCCCCAGCAAAATCCTTCTGGATAATTAAATAAATGCATTAACAGCAAGTCAGAGTTTTACGTATTTTTAAAGTCTAAGGAAAGTGATAGTTTGTATTTCTTAAGCGCTTGCTCTTTCTGAGTAAGTCAAGTGTTTTTTGTTGTTTTGCACAGCATGTGTGTATCATGACAGTAACAATGTGAGGTGAGCACTGTTGTCTTGGCTTCACATTTTCCTGAAGCAGTTAAATAGCATGGCTGTGTCCACAAGACTCTTTGTGACCATGACCTATTACTTAAGTTCTGAAACTACTTTTTGGTTTAGTTTTGTCCTACCTCCAATTTTCTAAGTTCATTATATCACAGCTATAATATTAATCAAAGACCAGCTCTATGCATTTTTTATGGAGAAAATATTATCTCCTGTGTGTCTCTGCTTTCTACCAGAGACAGTATCTCTTTAAAGTACAGGCTATTATCATACACAGTGTAAAACTACTCAGTAATTTGTTTGGTATAAATATTAACCTCAAAATATGAAAATCTGGAAATATAACATCTCTGACATAAATTTCTTTGCAGTTTTACTTTACAGTGCAAACTTTCTTTTTTAAATTTAGATCCGTCAAAGGTGAAAAATATCAATTTCCTTTTCCATGGAAAAATCCAATAATGGAATGAAAATCAGACTTCATTTAGAGACACTTTATCAATTAAATCTGATTTTGGTTAACAATATCTTATGAGCTTTCATTTTAAATCAATCTCTCTCTCTCTTTTTATCTCTTTCATGCAACAGCACATATCTAAATGAGAAGTCACTCCAACTGAGAGAGAAATGCAAAAATCTGCAATATGGCTCTAAGTCTTTATCTAACAAAACAAAGCGGTAAGTTCCACTCTTCACATTTAATTTAATTTAAAACTAAGTATTTTGTATTCAGAGAGCACTCCATAGCATCTTTGAAATCATTTGGAAAATAAGACTGTGTTCATTCTCAGGCCTGGAGAATGTCCTGTTGGTGAGGAGGATGGGCCAGGCAGGGTCACACCCTGACAATGGGACTCAACTTATTAAAATATGTGGGTCTCCTGGCTATATTTTCAAAGGTAAAAGACTGAAATGACTGGAAGAAAAACAAGAGTATGCTGGCTACATTCTAGTGGCACTCAAATCCTTTTGACAATCCAATAGCTACATGTTCTGGACTCTATCTATAAAAATGACCCCTTGTCCCAAATTTTTGTTACAATTTTAGGTAAATGATTTCCCTCCCATCCCAGCTGTGGCTCTCCCCAGTTCCCCTCTTCTGCTTACCATCTTGTATTTTAGAGAATTCCAGTACATCCTCTTCTTCAAGCTGGAGAGAAGGAAATCCAAAAGCTCCTTGCTTCACACATGGAGGCACTGGGGGCCTGAGACTCTGGTGTGAGAAACACTGTTTGGATGGCACCTGGAAGGAGCAGAGCCTAGCAGTTCTGACAAAACAAGTGCGAGTGCTGTTGTGGGATTGTGCACTATGCAAAGGAGACCCAGGATCCTTCTCCTCCATGTTTTTCTCTTTCTCTTCTTATTAATTTCTCTTTCTCTTCCTCCCTTCCACCTCTCCCTCCCTCTTTCTGACACACCCACCCACCCACCATTCTCTTCCTCTTTTAATTGTAAAAGTAGTGAGTGCTTGTGGGAGGAAGGAGTAAAATCAGTTGCCTATAATCCTTCACTGGGGTGGGGTGTGGGAGGTTAAGCTGGAGAAGAAGCAAGCTAAGTTACCTGGTCTAACCTGCTTCTACTGAACCTCTTGGTAACAGGCTTTGAACTTTTGCTCATCAATTGATGGTCCCTGGCAGGCAGGTTGATCCTGCCTGGTTCAGGTAGTATTTACAGTAAGTGGAACCTGGGTCCCTAGAGAATGGCACATGGGCTGTGCAACTTTCTGAGTATTAGAGGAAAATGTTTTATGATTTAAAAGTTCCTGCTGTCTGAAGAGTCCCATGCACCTCTCCTACAGAGCTCAACTACAGTCCTGGGCCAGGTCCAATGTGGGAATACAGAACCAAGGTGGCCACCTTCCCTGTCCCAGACCTCGCTCTCTTTTATCTGAGCCTTTTGAATGCCAAGATCCTTGAAATTCTTAGAAAGCTGAATACTGGCTATGAACTCTGATCTAAGTTAAACTGGTTTGCCATTCCAATGCTGTATGTTAGCTCTGATTATTACAGAAGCATAGCCCTATTAAGATTTTTGTTTTCTTTGCCTTAAATTCCAAGAGATGATCCCTCAACCTGCTGGAGGGCTCCACTGTGCTGTGTACCCTTCATTTGCCACACCTGATGTACTGCCAACCCTTCCAGCCCTTTACTGCACACTGATCTTTGGCTGTCTTTGTCCAGAAAGACAGACCTACCTGGACTTCATCAATAAACGGGCTCTTTGCAATCTCTCTTTTTCTTTGGGATTGGCCAAGCAGGAGAGTGAGAAAGAAATCAAAAAAGAGGGAGGAAGGAAAAGCAGCTGTCTCCTTTGGGATATTGTTGCAGGCTAACTGAAATCCTGCATCATTTGAATAAAGATCATGACCTTTTCTTTTCTCTTTCTTTCTTCCTTCTTTTCCTTCCCCTCTTCCTTCCTTCCTTCCTTCCTTCCTTCCTTCCTTCCTTCCTTCCTTCCTGTCTCCCTCCCTCCCTCCCTCCCTCTCTGTTGCTCTCTCATTCTTTCTTCTTTCTTTTTTTTTTTAAACAGGTTCTCACTTTGTAGCCAAGGCTGCACTCAAACCCCCAATCCTCTTTCCTCAGCCTCCTGAGTGCTGGGGTGGCAAGCAAGTACCACCATACCTGACAAAACATTTGGGAACAGCCCTTTCTTGAAGGCTTTCATGAAGTACTCCATTTGGGGCTGGACATGGTAGTACATGCCTGTGATTCTAGCTACAGTGGAGGTAGAAATGGGAGGATCACAGCTCAAGGTCAATCCAAGCAAACAATTTAGCAAGACTCCATCTGAATAAACAAGCCAGGCATGGTGGTACACCATGCTGTCATTCCAGCTTTTCAGGAGGCTAAGCTAGGAGGATCTCAGTCCAAGGCCTGCCTGAGGAAAAAGGTTAGTGAGATCCTACCTGAAAAATGAAGAAAAAAGAGCAGAGTGGGGCATTACTCAAGTGATAGAGCCTAGCAAGTGTGAGACCCTGGGCTCAAACCTCAGAACTAAAAAGAAAAAATTATACATTTTGACCCCTTTTGGCTCTCGTAGAGATCCCAGGTTCCTGCAGATCAGGCAGATCACTTGTGCAAATGCTCTCTTCTCTCACCATAAATTGTCTGGACTTAGGTACAAGTTTGTGTGTTATGTAGATGACTTTCCATCCGTTTTGATGTTGTGGGACCTGGTCATGCGGTTTGCTGGTTTTGGGGTGTGTGGATGTGCAAGGCTCTGTCAAACTTTTCCTGAGGGACTTGAGTTCCTTGGCACTGCATTTCTCACATCAGACATCTGGTTCGAGGACCTATGACAAGGAGAACTGGGAGAAATTGCTCCTTGCTGCAGGATATCTGCAGAAATCTGGTTACTCCTTCCCCAGTGTGCACATTAGTGTATGACCACTGCCTTCAGCTCTGTGCAGCTCTCTCAATGACACTAGCCACTGTTGCTTCCCAAAGTGACAGCAGTCTTCAACTCAAGATTGATTACTATCTGCACAATGTAGCCAAGCACTGAGTCACCATTGGAGAAAATTCTCTTATCATGGAAGGTATCTGTCTGTTTCAAGGCAAAGAATTTGACAACTCTTCTGTGTGCATCAGCAACAGTGCTTAACTGCAGGATGCTAATAGAATGCCTGGGCACAAACCCTCATGTCTGCTTTCCCAGTTTTCCCCTGTGGTTTTGTATTGGATGGCAAGACCTTTTCTCAGCTGTTCTTTGGGGGGGTTGTCTTTCCATTAGGCACACAATTTTCAGTGAGCTCATCTAATTACCCGCACTTGTAGACTGTGCAGCAGAGGTCTAGGGAGAGCAGGCACGGATTGCCCATCGCTACCAAAGTGTTATTTTGCACACAGGAGGCTAATTCTTTTGGTTATATTGTCTATTGTCAGGAATTGTGCGTTCTGCAGCAAGTGCTATTACAGACTTACAGGGGACAATTGGGAAAGCCATTCGGTGTATGGTGATAAAAAAGTAATTTCATTTTCTTAGAAATAATTATTTAGCCTTATTTTTGTTATGGTCTGTTAAAGACTCAGAATTTTCTCTTTCTTCAGGCAATTTGTCCCTTCAGATTGCTAAAGCAGAATTTAGGAAGACAGTGTTATAGTGGGGGGGAAATAGCAGTCTTTATTTTTGCTAGTCTTGATTACATTCTTGAATAAAATTAAGGCCAGACATGGTGGCTCACTTCTGTTATACCAACCTTTTGGAGGCAGAGATTGGGAGGATCATGGTACTAGGCCAGCTGAGGCAAAAATAACCTCATCTCAACAGTCTGAGGTCATGCCTGTAATTCAAGATAAAAGGGAGTGTCACATACAAGGACAGCCCCATGCAAAAATAACCAAAACAAAAATGGGCGGGGAGCATGGCTCAGGTGATAAAATACCTACCTAGCAAGTGTGAGGCTCTGTTTTCAATCCCCAGTACCTCCACAACAAAAAGAATGAAAGAGAGAGAGAGAGAGAGAGAAACAAATAAACAAGCAAACAAAAAAACAAAGAAAGAAAATTAAGCATTTGTCATTAGGACAACCAGTGGGATAGGATATTGTATACCATAATTCTTTATGTCTGTTTAAGACTGTGAGCTCCAAGAAGACAGGATAGTGTCTTGTTCACAGGTCTATCTGCGCTGCCTGGCACAGGCCTGAGCAGGAATTAGTTGCTCAGGAAATATTTGTTGGATAAATGAAGGAATGTATTTCTTGGGTCTTCAAAACACTTACTATGCTATGTCTGATTTCTAGGTGTTAAAAATTATCTATAAATCCATCAAATTTACTCCTTTTATATATGACTTTTACCTCCTTTGAGCTTTCTTCTTACTTTAGATTTGTACGTTTCCATTTTTTTTTCCTAACTCATCCTTTGCCCCTGAATGTCTCACTGGGTTTCCCTAGTACAATCTTTTCACTAGGTTATCACCCAGATAAAAATATTATACTGAATTAAAAGTGCTATACAGCCAGCTATCGTATCATTGCTAGTTTGCTCATTTTTCAGTGTGGCAAACATTACTTGAAATCTTTTCTGCTCATATTTTTAGAAAAATGGCTCCTTTCATATTCAAACTGTCCATCTCAGTTGTCATTGCTTCTGACAGTTATTTTAAAAAATGCTGATCAAGGAAATGAACTCACTGTCTCACTCCTGGGTTTTTCTGCCTCTGTTGCTGTTAGGCAGCTTTCCATATTACTATAACAAATGCCTGAGATTAATCAACATACAAAGAGAAAAGGTTTGGCTGGGCATGGTGGTACATGGCTGTAATCCCAGCACTGGGGAGGCTGAGACAGGAGGAATGAGAGTTGTAGGCTAACTTGAGCTGCACAGCAAATTCAAGGCCAGCCAGGGCTACAAAGTGAGACCCTATCAAGACAGAAAGAGAGAGAGAGAGAAAAAAAAAGGTGTATTTGTTGGGGGGGAGCTTAGGAGGGTCCAGTTTGGAGGTTCCCATAATCCAGCAGACACATTGCTTCAGGCCTCTGGTAATAGTGGGGGTAAGGGTGCAGTGTGTCATGGCACATTCAGGCACCTTGTGGCTGGAATGGAAAGAGAAAGAGACCTGGGTCCCAGAATCCCCCTCCAATGACCTAAAACTCCACTAGGCCACACCTCTCAAGAGATCTACCATCTTTCAGTAGTATTCAACTGGGGTCTACGTGTTTAAAGCATGGGCTT